TCTTTCAGACAATTAGGCGTCTACAGCTTACTGTGGGCTCATTCCTGCTGATCGACAAGGAACTAAGTGCGCTAAGTCATTTTCGAAAGGTATTGACTGAATCTGTTCCAACTACATTGTAGTGAGAGTCACCATCAGCACGCTAGACATGAGTCAACGAAAAGCTCAATTCTACGTGGAGTGGAAAAGAACATACAGTGTAGACTGCACTTACATTTGGTGCGAGTATTTAGGCCGGTGTTTGCTTAGGTGTTATTGAACATCAGAGACACGGCATCCGCTTTTCCACCGTTTCTCACTTAGCTTTGAGCCTGCTTACCGCAGCTCTTCTACTTGATTTTATGGGTATATTCTAATTTCCCGAACCTTTTTTCGCTCCTTTGAGAATCATGTCAGGACCTCAACGAGACGAAAAGTGGCGCCAAACCAAGCAGATTGCACACCGTGAGCCAAACTATTCCGGCCCACGGACGCTATCTTCGAAAAGGCTGAGGCTGCCCTACTGGATTCTGCCCGTGATGCCCGTGACAAGCGATGCGCCACTCTCGCAGACGCTCCACAAGTTGTCTCCCGATCCCAGCCCGTGAGCTAACAACCACGTTTTCCGATACGGAAATTATGACTTCGCTCGGTTCACCGGCCCAATCACCTTTGTGGTCGAAAAGTCTAGAGCACTTGCGTGACTTCAAAGCACCTTTGTTTGTACCGACAGGGAGGTGTGTACCAAATTGAGGGAGACAAATTTGTGAAAAGTTCAGACGTACTCAAAATACTCCACTGGTACCTTGTGGATCTTCAACGACATTCCAATGAAGTTGCCGAAGAACTCATTTAATACTGGTTTGCCCAAAAAGGCACACCACCTGTGTACATTACACCAGTTCACGTTCTAGGAGGGCTTCGCTCCCACAGCCGTTGAGTTGACTTCAACCAGAAAACGCCCCCGGCTTTGGTTATGCTGGAAAAGCGTACCCCGCTTCGCCAGATCCAGTTTACTGGGCAAGGCAATTCGGTGGTTCATCACCGAAAGTGTCCCTTTAGTAGCGTCATCCCACCCTTTATCAAGGAAAAACGTGAAAAAGGTAAGCAAGCCCCATCATGCTTAAACGCGAACGATACAGCCAGTATCCCGCCTGCTTTTGACGCCCAAAGCGACACGAGTGACCGTTCACCCATGGCCGACGACTCTGCGTCGAATAGTTAACAACATAATGAGGAACATTCTGACCCAGACACCGATCGACGTACCACGATGGACGGTATTGAAGCCGCAAATGTGGCCCGACCCAAATCGGATTAGCCTCATGGGAAAATACCCAATTTTCCAGTCAGCTCCATTCAAGCCGCCAAATTTTTGCCGGTTCGGATTATGAAGGCAAAGCTAATGGTGTTTAGTGCCGCCGTGGACCCAGCAGTAGATCTACGACGTTTTCCTTCTTTTCAAAACGAATATTCTTCAATTTCCTCACTTAATTCTTATGAGTGGTTAAGTGAAGGTTTAGATGGACCCATTCCGCCATACCAAAATGTCATAGCGTGCGACAAATCGATTGAGCCGCCGCAGTCTATGGCTTCATTTGTAATACTTACTGAAGTAAGTGAGGCTGTTTATAATGGGGCCGTCTACCGAGGCAATGTTGAGCAACTTTCCCTTAAGGAGCTCTGCAAAGTAATTGAAGAAATCTTGGGCACTTTTATTATTTTTTTTATTAATATCAAATATATTTAATTTAACTTTTTTGTAAATTTTTAAATTAATTAAAATATTTTTAAGACGGGTGTTCATATCTACTTGTAATTTATGATTTTTTTTTTAAAAATCCGATTTTTCGTCAGTAATATTTATAACATAGTAATTCGGTTATAATTTTTCTAGATTTAAGGATCCAGACATTTTGTTGTCGACGGTTCAAGCTCAATATAGTCCTCACCGGGTCTTGCTTGATTCCAGCACGGAGGAAAATTTCCACCACCTCCGCACCAAGGCCTTCGGGCACGCCGTACTTCTGGAGTTAAGCACTCGTACCTATCCATTAACCGACGATGGAATTTTTTTTGAACGAGTCTCTACTCTATATCCTAACCAGCCCGACTATGACTTTTAGACCGTATTAGGGCAACTGTGTCCAAAGCAGTCCCAATACGGGCTTAAGTTACGACTGGCCGAGGCTGATCTAGCTCTGCAAATTATCGCTTCTAGTATCAATCTGGACCCACTTATATTAAGTGTCGTCCTTGGAAGGGCAGCATCGGCACTGCCACACCCGATGTGGCTACTCTGGGATGATTCGACTTCGGCTGCCCTCACCACGTCACCCTTAATGGTTTGCATTTTGGCTGGACCTCTTCCCACTGCCCTTCGCGAGACATTAAAAGATCTAGGAGAGTAGGCCACTAAGGTGATCACTCCAGCTCTCACTCATATCTGATGTGCAGTGGGCCATACGGGTTTACTCTCTTAACGCGAAAGGTCTAAATAACGTCACACAACGCACTTTGAATTTTCGCTCTAATGATTCTCACTTTGTAAAAATTAAAAAGGTAAAATTTACGGGTATCAGAAGTCTAAAAGAATTAAACACCATTGAAGTACGGATTCACGGCCAAACTCCAGCTTTTGGTCACAAGATAATATGACTATATATACTTGTGGCGGTCTATTATTGACGCCATCATGCCCAATTCAAGATCTTTGTGACATAACGTGTCGGTATGTGAGCTCTTTAGATCACCTATCTCGGTATCTACTTACTTAAAGCACTCTTGATGCAACTGTCACTTGTATCGACATTTTCTACGCCCCGCCAACCAAGTTAAAGGTCCGACTTCCTTACTAATTTACCCCGTCATTTGAGGACGATTGGCAATATATCGTTCTAGGCGATTTTAACACCGCTTTTTCAGTCAGCTTGATCAAGCTCGTCACAGTAACCGCAATTGACTTCAAGGTCGAAACAAACTCCTTGAGCGGATGACTGCACTAAACTTGGTGATGCTTGTCGAATTCAGCACTCGGACCATTAAGAGTTTACAAGTCCTAACAGCAGCTCTCGCATTGACTACGTCTTAGTAAGCTCTAGACTTTTTTAGTCCGTCTTTTTAGACATTTCGGCGGGCACAGGTGACCACTCCGGAATTTCTTTCAGGCTCGGATACTCCGATATTAAGCCACTAAATCGGACTCCCTGAAAATGCCCGTCATGGGTTATCCAGCTGCCTGAAACCCGAAGATTTTTGCAGCAATTTCCCCTTGCCTGAGCTGGCGGACTCATAATGGGCCCCCAATTGAGAATCTTATAATCCGGGATGTCTCTTGGACGAACACAAGCGGAGAGCCTCCATATTTCTCCGGAAGTTGATTTTAGGAAAAAAATAGCGGAAAGAGGTATTGGAAATCTTCATCTTAAGGTGAATGAGCTCCAGCACTTGCTAGCCAAAAATCCTTCTGCTGTTGACCCAACGCAACTTGCCACTGCTAAGGCTCAACTCAAAGAAAGATTGACCGGGCAAAACTACTATACATCGAAGCACAAGTTTACCTCCGACTTATAAACACCAAACGCTGCTCTAAATTTTTCTTGTGGCCGCCTCAAGTACTCCATAAAACACACATTCCTGTGGATTCGGCCGAAGACCTGGAGTCAACTTGCGCCGAATTTTCGTCCTTCTGGTCTGGAGTATACTGCTCGCCTCCAAACTCGTTTGATCATGGGAGACCCAAATGGGACAGTATCAATCTTGCTCGAATTCATCAGGACACTACAGCACGTCTCGTGCCAAAGGATCAGGTTTACTTGGACAGCTTCTTTGCGGCGTTTGTCTTTTACTGGGCATTAACTCGTACTGCTATTGAGAAAACTCAAGGGCCAGACGGCTCACCCGTAGAGTGTTACAAGACGGACACACCTCTCTGGAGTCGAATATTTGAGGTGTTCTATGCTGCTCAATTGGAACGCGGGAAAATGACTAAGTTTCAGCGGCGGACCAAGTCTCGTTGCTCTACAAACAGGAAGATCGAAAACCTTCCGGTAGCTATCGTCCAGTTTTAATACTAAATGTGGATGCCAAGCTGGGCCCAAAAAGTTAAACACACAGACTTGGCTCCCTACTCGGCAGTTTGCTTCACTCATATCGATATGGAATCATCCCGGGCCGCGATAACCGCCACGCCCACCTGCGGTTTCAAGCACGGTCCCATTTGTTCGCAAATGGTGGTTCCTCTGCTGGCGCGGTTTTTCTTGACTTTCCGAAAGCCTTTGATAGTGTCGTCTGGTATGCACTTGACATGGTTTTGAAGCACTTTGGATGTAGTGACTCATTTCGACGCTGGATTCGAGTCCTCTTTCCCGGCACACTAGTTTTCTTAATTTTCAACGGTCGACCACTCGACCCATTTGAGCTGGGTTCCGGGGTTCGCCATGGTGATCCTATATCTCCGACACTTCTCGTACTATTTATTGAGCCATTGCTCAAGTATGAACGAGTCCATCTTCATGACTTTGGATTTCGTATCAGATCAACAACTCACGCGGTGACCAGTTTTGCTGACGACTGTATGATCTAAGCTATACTAAAGTCTTTATACAACTCGTAGAAATTTTTGGTGAGGCCTCCAGTATGCGTCAAAACAAAACAGTGGGGGTTATTGTGGTAGGAAATACTGACCGCGCTAAGCTACTTGAAATTTTCTATGGTTCAAGCTTACCGACGCTGACCGCCTACGACACCTTCTAACAAAGATGGAAAACCGGTGCTCAATTTTATTTTATCGCGCGAGGGCTTTACGCGGCAAGTAGTCATGCTTCATCAAGTTATTCTACCTGTTCCATGGTATACCGCGAGCGTCCGCCATACCCCGGCACAGGATTTCAAGACCAGCTTTTACGGCTTATTTCGCGCTTCATGTGTCGGTTTAAGACATCAAACACGCTGCTCCGCGACTGGTGGGTACTTCCCTTGGGCCAAGGGGGACTGGGTTTGGCGCCCATTCCAAACACGGTTCGGAGTTTTCAAGTGTTTATGATGTGCAAAATGATACTGATAGGCAGATTAACGCCTAATGTCACTTCTTTGGCAGATCCATTCATCCGACTATTTGATCAAGCTATATCATCTTGGGGGGAACATTTCGACATTCTGTATACACCCGTGACTACAAGTCCAGACTATGCAATTTCGCGCCGTTTATGGATCGGACTGGCATTGGGCCTTACTGGCACAATGTGCTTTCCACTTGGCACTCCCGCATTCGGCGAAAGCTCACAGACTATAGATTAAATTTGACAAGCTAAAAACGCCCATTTAAAATAATGTGGATATTGCCTGTGGCTACCGGGGCAGCACTATGACTGGGACTTCACGGCTGCTAAGCTTTAATTGAATGCTAAGGGATGTTTCGCTCAGATCAACTTTCTCGAGTTTGTCCATTTCCGGTGACGCTATCCAAACCAATTTGCCTGGGGTCGTATAGTGAGCGAGCGTTCGTGAGCCGTTATTTTGGACATGGCAGGAAATCTACTTAATTTATTGACTCCTTACCCGATGGTGCCCTGCCAGGCTTCGCACTATTACGCTGCCAGCCACGCCTGGGTTTTGATGCTCATGAAGTATCGGAGCTTAGTGTGGCTCGTATTCGCTCAAAACTCGCTGAGTTCTCAGTGCCAGCGTTGTCCCTTTCCCGATTCGGCGTTTCAAGCAGTCCCCCTCAGTCAATGTGGGTAAAAATAGGCAGACACGGTCTGCCAGTCTATTCCAATCTGCTAAACAGGCTACAGCATAACGCTCTCTTTAATTGCTATCGACTTCAACACCTACCCGGTACTCAATCGATGTGCCATGACGGTTGCAAGGTTCTGGAAACGTCCTTTCATCTTTTTTGGTACTGTAACTTTGCCGTGCAAGTCTGGGCAGACTGGATTACCGATTTTCAAGACTATCATCTTGGTGCACATGAATGGGATTCAGTCTTTTTTTAAAGCTGAATCCCGAACCGGCGGCCAAGGCCCGCTATGGTTGTAGCCTCTTTGTGGTTTTCCACATTGTAAGAACAGTGATTTTCCGGTGTCTATGGCTACATCAAAACGAGTCCGCTTTCATGACTTTCGAGCCAGGGTTATGCACGTTTAAGCTCAAGTCAAAGTCGTCGTAGTGCTCCACATTAAACGCTACTATTAATATTAAGCTCTTCTATTTAAATCCCAGAGCCACTCAGGACTTCAAAGGCGCAGTCTGCACGAGCTGTTGGCAACCCTCCACCTTTCTCAAGCGCTGCCACTATGCCCCGAGGCTACGGATCATTAACGGCTTTCTCTGTGTGGCAACAAATTTGGCGTTTTCACTGGCTGCAGTACTGCGCTGTGACCACCCTCAGAGTTTCCCAAACCCATTTTCCATGTATCAAGAATTGGGTACTTTCTTACCGAAAGGAAAAAAAGAAAAAAGAGTATACCTCTTTGATTTTCCAAACGGGACAAAACGTTCTGGGTATTGGTCTTTTTTCTTTCGAATTTAGTCCTTTTGGCCTTTATCGGATTCGAGAACCTTGAGCTCTGGCATTTTTTGGTGTTTTCTCCTACTGTACAAGCCTTTCGAACCCGGTTTACTAATGCGTCCGTTTGATGCCACAGTCACGATCCACGCCACAATTTGCGCTGCCATCTACATTGCCAACGTTAGCGATCTGCAAGCCATACGACACCGACTATTAGCGTCTCGCCCAAGGGCGTCACTAAGCGTTACGTTGGACTTTCCCATTGAGAATTTCACATATCCCCGTTGCCTAGCAAAGGTATTTCAACAATTTCTCCACGACAGTACCAATGAATTTACCGCAAGCAAGCAGATTTTAGACTGTTTAAGTAGAAACCAACCCTATGCCCCAAGGCCATTTCAAGCATCACCAGACACAGCCCAATTTTTGGTCGCGGGGGGACTCGAACCTGCAGTCTTCAACTCGTCCATGCAGTATCGTAACCACTCCGCCAGAACACCGAATGAAATTTTGGGTGTCTTGACCCCTATCTGGGACGATCAACTTGCCCATCCTATACTTGGAATTTGTATAGACTCCATTTATCTTCGTAATTTTGCCAGATCATAAGGTAACTAGGCATCGTGCCGAAGAATCAGTGTAATACAACTTATTTCTCTGGCTCGACAAGTTAAGCGAAAAGACGCTTTTCCGCCCAATGTAACGGGGAATTGCCCGTTCGTAAGCACACACTTTCTGGAGTAGGCTTAGGTCAGCTTGCACCCAAGTGCGGGATGCGACTTGAGAAAATCTGGAGGCGTTCACCAGCTACAGGAACGCACCTCCGGGAAAGTTCCAATCAGTAGCCAAACAGAGCGCTACCGGCTTTTGTTATGAGGCTGCTGAGTATCCTGCCGTTTGAAACGACAAACGGAGCGAAACTTATCATCTGGATGAAGTTAGTTGAGAAGGCCACAAATCTGAGCATTCTCCAGACAGAGAATCAGCGTGTCGTGCTTTTTGGTCTTATGCGATAAGGCTGCGCGTGAGTATGTTTACGAACATGCATAACCTCTATGAAAGAAGCAATCCCATTATGAAAAGTCAAAGCGAGGGTATTTGCACGGCCGAACCAGTCGTATCTGTGCGTTTCAAATTCAAGAAGGCAGAAATTAATGTACTATCTATTCCCAGGAGTAGGATAATTTCAGACGCTTTTATGGCGGCAGACCCCTTCTGTTGGTGATCACACATTTCATCTTCATGGAGAGTCTTAACACAGGCACGACTCGCACCGAGACCGTTCACATCTTTTCCACCTCGTTCAAAGCGACAGTGGGTGACACACTAAAACGCTTAGCCGCGAAAGCAAAGTAACATACTGGAAGTGGAGACATTGCGCCAGAGGGAATGGACCTCAGATATTCAGTAGAAAGTAGAGATCTCTTGGCTTCTGAGCAGCTTTGTTGGAGGAGCGGATTCTTCATCTGTGGCAGTACAAACATAATGTGTCTTGCGCTCCTCCTAATCTGTTACCTGAGAGTTATTTAGGGCTGTACTTCCTCGCAAAGTCATCCAACAAGTCCCTCGCATTATATCGTCGGATCACCAAAATAACAGGGCGGCCTATTCGAGAAGAAATGGGTTCTGTTTTCCATCGGGCAGGTCGTGTGCGACGAGTTGCACTTTGCACAGCAAAATTTATAAGTCTAAGAGTCCGCGTTTATAATTGCACCGATGCTGAGTCAGGGTGCTGCTCTCAGAAGAGCTTCTACTGTAACTAGGTCTCCTTCAGCTCTGCTATATCAATAGTACATATATCAGATCAGTACGACTAAGACTAGTACTGAATACATCAATTTTTCGATCTCTATAATTCTGACGTTTGGCTTGAAGCCCAGTGTCCTGCTGACATCGCTTTTTTTAAAGTATCGTAATCTTCATAGTTGGCCTCAATACTAATGAATATGTGTTACATTTGTACATCTTTACCGTGTTGTATATAGTACAAATTTACTGAACTTAGAAGATTAATTACACAAGAAGATATTTCCTGTTCCGTTACGCATCAAATGTTTGTGTAATAGCAAGTTCCTTCAAAACACCAACACCAGCTGCTTACATGTCCAGCAGTTGGTGGAAGAATTGCTTGACAGTTTTGAATTGACCAGTATCGAAAGCTTGACTTACCGTTGTTTGCTGCACACTGGTACCAATACTTGCTGGGTGTATATACTTTAGATGCACAAATAGCAATCGGTCATTGGTCGGGTGTAGACATGACCCTGTGTCAAACCATTAACCATGAAGATCCACTTATCACAGCCTTATCGTGCGTGTGTGCATCACCATAAATTCCTTTTGATATAACCAGTCTGATCACTTTGATAGCTACCCCAGTCCCGTTTCGAGCGCATCCGACAATATGATGTCGGTCGCTTCAGTTGGTTTACTGCTTATTGAAGCGTGCCGCGTTGTAATAAGTACGACACACAGTCTAGCTCAAAGTACAATATTTACCATATTTCTTGTCGCCATCATCGTCTCAGGTCATCATTGCTAAGATGGGGTACGTCCCTGAGCAAGGAAGCTCGAAAAGTAGGCAGCTTAAGATGCACAAGATGACCGCTCAGCAGAGCTTGCAATTACTCTTGCTTCTGATTATACCCAAATTAACAACACTGCTCTACCTGACCTATCGTTTGTCTGCTGTCGCTAACTCCCACTTAGATTGTTTACACTCGGGTTGCCCTTCTGATGTCAAGACTGTCGCACCGCCGCTTGGCTGGGTGACTGCAGTGCCTCAAGTGTGAGTTTTTAAGCGTTTCCACTCTACTAAACGACTAATTGGAGCTATTTGATATTTGTACAAGTCGGAAAGGCTGCCCATCAAAATTTGTCTTATATAATATCATACTCATTTAGCTGATACTTTTCAAATCCTAAAAAAAGGTGATTCTTCACATCACCCCCGTTGTGCCCTTCAGATAAAGTTTTTTTCATTCTTGCGCATAAGGACACTTTCCCTGTAAAGTGGGTCCAATAGCTTCTCGTATTCCGCTTGGATAGCAGTCAACATTTCTGTCCCCAGTAACCAATATATCGGAAACGATACTCGGGGATGGTCACGTCGATCAAACACATGATCTTTCCCTGCTGGCGATCAACGGTCAACTGGCGCTCCGCCGTTGCATGTTGCTCTTTCTTGAACTTGCCGCCAGCGATTTCGAGAACGCCGTGCTCTATCAACGTCATATGCACCAGGAACATGTGAAATGCAACTCAGTTGTTTTGCGCAAAAGGAAATTCTTCCAATCAATATCAGCGTTCTTTTAGAATGATCAATTCTCTAGTGCCGCGCCTTGTGATGCAGCAGGGATGTCGTACCTCTTTCGCTTAGAAAAAGCTTAGTTAAGGTCGGCGACCTTCGTTCTGTACTTGGAACCAGGACGAGTGTAGCATGTTGCAATTCGCCTACTCCAAGAGTAACTACAGCCTTAAGCCAAGGCTAATTTTTGCTTAACATGTAGACTCCATTTCTGGGTTTTATCTGCGGCAAAGGCTCCTTTATCTAAATCTATAGGGTTTCCTATCTACATAGTGAAACCTAATTATATGTATAACTACTGGCGGCTCCAGCTACGTACTGATTTCTTTTTTAAGTGTAGCAACACCATTTTGTGACCCAAACAATCTTGTGTGATCCTGTTACACCCTCCCCCATCAAGATTGGGAACATCTACACTTCACATTCAACAGTCGCCTCGAACGAGACTCGCATGTCTATGACACCACAACATTACCAGGGCCTTCTTACATTTGTCTGCTGAATGACCGTGTGTTGAAGACACCGAAGACACCCAGCCTCGCTGGTTCTGAAAACGCCTACGATCAGAGCCGTTCTTCGTCTCTTGCACGCGGTGCAGCTTTGGACAGCGCACCGCGCCCGCCATGGGCGATGGATTACCTCGTCGTGGATTTGGAGGAAGTCGACTACAATTCGGATACTCCATTCCTAGTATGGAAAGAAGAATAGGGCGAGGTGCCCAAGCGGCGCGACGCGAGCCCCACTCAAACCTTGCAGACACCGTGTCCGTTCCCTGATCTCCCTCATTCCGATGGAAGCGGTATCATTGCCAACCATTTTGACGAGACACAGATGCAGCAGCCGGATGCTGTCAGCAGGGCCGCTCTTATGCGGGCACATCCACGGTCGTTCCTTGACCCTCGTGTGGGATGCGGTTTTGCTCGGCGAATCCCGCCGCAGAAGCGAACGACGCGATCACTCGATCATTGGGCGTCTACGCGGTCGAGCCCCCGGCCAATACACAAGCGGAGCTTGAAGAACAAAAAGCTATCTGTGCTTGCTACTTGGTACCTCATAAAACCCCGATGGATACGGACCACACTATCCTTCGTGCTCTGAGAGGAGGCACTCCTGTACCCGCGATGTGGACAATTCCTGTGGTGCTCGCCCCTGGCAAATTGCTGCAGATGACGACGAAATCTTTGAGCGATGGGTGCAAAGGCACTGGAAACTTTCCTTGCTGCACAACTTACAGTTGAGCCACAGCGAGGTGGACGCGCATGTGGAACGCCATCTTCGGTTTGAGCGAACATTACTCATTGCGCGTCGTCTACTTCTTTCCCTGCGACGCATGGGTTGCCCCTCACGTCCCGCGAGATCTGTGGTCTCACACTGGTGAACCTGCGTCTCCAGTAGCTTAGGGCCATAGCTCGAGCTCATCTCATGGCCCTCCGGCTTCCCTGGCGATTGTGAAGAAGCGCCGGTCGTACGACGACGCGGAACGTCATGATTTCTCTGATCATAAGCGTCCACGACCTCTGGACAGTCCTGCCGAATTGGCATCACAAACGCCGACGAGTTCTCGAAGTCGAGGTATCCTCGCCACTTCACAAGATTCTGGTTTTTAGCCTGGCGACAACGTCGACCCACAAAACGTTTCACGTGATAGTGGACACCACTATTCTCGTCGAGAAGAGTCGGTGGCGGACGATGACGAATGGTTTGATCAACGTCCGGTAATTCGCGATACTATTAGAACTCATGCGGACGAGGTCCGTCTCAATCGGACTCCGCTGAGCATCAAACTGGGGTTGTATACCGCTGCGCGGAAGACCTCGAAAGCTTGGAGCATTTTGTGCACCGGCTGCCTCACGTTGAGGACATTCGCGCTCTGTCAAAGCGGCCCCTAGCCGACGGTGGAGCGCTTTGCGCCGTTAAGATGGAGATTATTGCACTTCGTGCTCAAAACCAGTTGCTGATCCAGCTTCTGGAAAGATGAGCGACTGTGGGCCTCGCTCCGGCGCCAAAGCTTCCGCGTTTACTTGTGCCGGATCCCGGTACGGCTTGAGCAAGCTCACATAAAACACCGGGTAGGTGCGCATCCGTTTCGAAAGGTTTTGCGTATATGCAAGGCCACGCTTCGCCACAACCTTCAGAGGTCCAATAGACCGTGGACGAAGCTTTAAAGCAGAAATTGCATGGGTGGGAAGGCTCTTAGCATTATGTAAAATTTGGCATCCGACCGTAAAGTTGAAATTTTTTCGTCTGCCTGATCCGTCTGCATGTTCCTTCTGCATGTCTTGGCTATCAGTCATCACCTCGCGAACGTGTCGTGAGACACTCCGTCTGGTAGATAGGAAGTCATCGACTTCTTTGCGCACATTTAGAGGGCTAACATTAGCTAGCCGCTCAGCCATTCCTCCACACCAAGCCCTGAACCATAGGATGGCGGCATCAATGGGACGCGAGGATGAACGAGCCCGTTCACGTAGAACGGCGTGTAGCTGGTGGACCAATGCACAGCATTGTTGAGAGCAAACTCTATTAGTGACAGCATGGCGATCTAGCTTCGGCGTCGCAGCGGAGACGGTGCAAGGAACGATCCCGACGACGCGATTCACGCGCCCAACTTGGCCATCGGCCTGCAGATGGTTCACTGTTGACATATCCAGCTTGGTGCCCAGCACCCTGAAGATCGTCGACCAAACCTTTCCAGTGAAACGTCGGTCTCGGTCAGAGACAATTGACTTCTGCAGTCCATGTTGTCGGAAGACACGATCCACAAACAGCGTCGCTGAACCGACACCGTCGATGGTGTCCGGTACCGCCGCTAGATGAGCCATATTGCTCATACGGTCCACAAAGACCACGACACCCGTGCTGCCCGGCCAGTTCTTCGGCAGACCAAACGCAAAGTCCATACTCATGGACAGCTAACACCTGGTGAGTACCGGCAAACTGGCCAGCGGTGCTGCCGCATCCAGAGACGGTTTCACCCTTTGCCACGAGTCACACGTACGCACATTGGTGCACGTCCATTTGTACAGCTTGGGCCACCAGTAGTGGCAACTCACTGAGCTGTAGGTCTTTTCACGACCAAGATGACCACTGAGTGGGGTGTCGAGTGCCTCATAGAGAATATGTATTTCAAATCCTCATCGCGAGGAGCCACAATTCGTGGCGTATCCGTCGAGTTAGTGCTATAATACAGCAAAAAACTTTCAATGAATATCGGTGTAACCGTGCACGCAGTCGCGTCGACAACTAGTTTCCAAACCCCTTGCTCCCGAGAGACTGTAGCAGCGCTACACACATATCATCACCCGCGTACGCGGCGCGTTTCAACTCCGTAACGAACGACGTCACCGTCGTGACATGAGCAAGCTCATAATCTGGTCTGCGTGACAACGCATCAGCCAAAGCATTCTGCTTTCCTGGCTTATAGTTCACATCAAATTATATTCTGCAAAGAATGGGAGCCACCTGGCCAACCTCTGCGAGAGGTGAGGCGAATAAGTCTCAGTGCGTAACGACCTATGATCTGTGTAGATCACGAACGGCTTGGAGCCAAGCAGGTGCCCTGAACATGACAAGTGCATCGCAAGTAAATCCTTGTCGTAAACTGGGTAGTTCTTCGCCGTAGGTTTGAGCTGGAGGAGACTCGAACGCGATTACTCGATCTCGCCCCTCAGTGTCTGCTTGTAGCAGGGCAAAGCAGATAGAAAAGTCCAAAGTGGTTTAGACAACACTTAAGGAAAGATCAGGGTGTGACAACGCCAGTACTGACGCATGAAAAAGACTGTCTTTGAAAGCCTCTCGATGCTCGGTGTCCCAAAACCATTCTGCATCATTCTTAAAAGGTTTGGACAGTGATCGTGCCAGTTCTGCGTAGTTCTTGCTATAATCTTGAAAGTAGATGGCGCGAACAAATTATTAGCGCAAGTCCTTTTGATTCTTTGGAACCAGCCAGTGTTTAATAGCCTTGACTTAAGCGGGATCCGCTTGAAAGCCACGCTTCCAGATAAAGCACCCTTTAATTCTTCAGGCCCGAGGATGTACTTGTCTGCATTAGCATACAGCTTATTCGTGCGCATGCAGACAAACACCTCCATCCTCCCGTGCTCCGCAAGACTGCGGACGAAGATATCGTCGAAGTATTTCTGTGCATACGTCTGGTGGGGACTGAACAACTGCATCACAAGACGATCTAATGTTTCTGGTGCATTTGACAGTCCTTGAGGCATCTCCAACCACCCCCAAAACATGCGGCTCGGGGTACTCACCGCTGTCAGCGGAATATCACTCGCTCTCATGAGCAATTGGTAATACCCAT